ATACCTGGATGATGCACTTATTCAACTAATAAATAGAAGTGAGCTTTGCAGAAGTGGAGGAGGTTTCAGCCGCTAAGCTGAAGGGAAGGAGCTATAGGCCACTAAACTAAATAAACTAAACTGAACATATCCTGAACATTGCCAGAACATAACCTGAAGATAATTGAATTGAACACAACCAGAACATAAGCAGAACATAACCTAACAATATTATCATAAACAGAACATAACCAGAACATAACCTGAACATAACCAGAACATAAACTGAACATAACCAGAACATAAACTGCAAGTTACCTGAACATAAACTGATCCTAACCAGAACATAACCTGAAAATAATTTAATTGAACATGACCAGAACATATCCTGAAAATAAGCAAAACATAACCTAATATTATGAGCATAACCAGAACATAACCTAAACATAACCTGAACATAACCAGAACATCATCTGCAAGTAACCTGAACATAAACTGATCCTAACCAGAACATAACCTGAAAATAATTTAATAGAACATGACCAGAACATATCCTGAAAATAAGCAGAACATAACCTAATAATAGTCTGAACATAAACCGAACATTACCAGAACATAACCTGAACATCAACTACGCATAACCTGAACATAACCAGAACATCATCTGCAAGTAACCTGAACATAATTTGATCCTAAACAGAACATAACCTGAACATAAACTGAACATTGCCTGAACATAATCTGAAGATGAATAAATTAAACAACCAGAACATGTCCTGAAAAAAACAGAGCATAACCTAATAATATTCTAAACATAAACTGAATATAACAATAACATCATCTAAAAGTAACCTAACCATAAACTGAACATTACCAGAACAAAACTAGAATATAACCTGAACATAAACTGATTATAACCTGAACATAAACTGATTATAACCAGAACATAACCTGAAAATAATTTAATTTAACAAACTGAACATTGCTAGAAAATAACCTGAAGATGATTTAATTAAACATAACCAGAACATATCCTGAAAATAAGCACAATATAACCTAATAATAATCTGAACAGAAACTGAACATTACCAGAACATAACCTAAACATCAACTAAACATAACCTAAACATAACCAGAACATAACCTGAACATCATCTGAAAGTAACCTGAACATAACCAGAACATTACTAAAACAAAATTTAAATATAACCTGAAAATAAACTGATCCTATTTAACCTGAAAATAACTTAATTTAACATAACCTGAACAGAACCAGAACATAACCTGAACATATCCTGCAAATATCCTGAACATTACCAGAACATAACCTTAAAATAACCAGAACATAACCTAAACAAAACCAAAACATAACCCGAAAATAACCTTAACATTACTGTAATGTATCCACAACATAACCTGACCATAATATGAAAATATCTTCATCCTGTTTCCCAGTGTCCTGCGGTCAGCCTCCTCTCATAAAGGACGCTCAAGTCTATGGCAGCATGAAGCCGCGATACGAGATCAACTCTCTGGTTCGATATCACTGTAAAGAAGGCTTCATCCAGAGACATGTCCCTACTATCAGATGCAGAGAAGACGGACAGTGGGACAAGCCCAAAATCACATGCTTGAATCGTAAGTTGTATGAGTTATTCTGTATAATAAAACTAAAGCCATGAAAACAATTAAATATGTAACTTAATATTAATCTTTTTAAAAACATTTTTTATTTATTTTCTTGCAAACGTTTTATTATTTTAATTTTTTCATTTCTTCAATCAGATTTAAAATGTTATTTATTTATTTTTAGCTTTTAGTTCAAAATAAAAATTCACGCTAGACAAAAGAAGATATATATTGTAATAAAATACTCTTTAACATTTTATTTTATAAAAAAAGGTAGATATTAATAAAAATTTACTAAAAGATTAAAGACATTAGAGAATTATAGAGGACGAAACCTATTTAATTTTTATTTATTTATATATTTATTTATGCAGGAATTTGTGTTTTATATATATATATTCTTGTGTTTATTTGCATTTTTATTTATTTTTTTATTCATGCAGGAATTTGTGTTTTTATATATATTTATTTATTGATTTATTTATGCAGGCATTTTAGAATTTATTATTTAATTAATTAATTTATTTGCATATTTGTTTATTTATTGTTTTTGCAGGTTTCGTCCTGCATAGTGAATACTTTTGAAAAGTAAATACTAATTTCTTGAGGTTTTTTGTCAAAAAAGATACACGGTATTTATTATACCGGTATTATACCGGGCACTTTATTAGGTACACCTTACTAGTACCGGGTTGGGCCCTCCTTTTGCCTTTAGAACAGAACTGCCTTAATCCTTCGTAGCATAGATTCAGCAAGCTACTGGAAATATTCCTCAGAAATTTTGCTCCATGTTGTCATGATAGCATCACACAGTTGCTGCAGATTTGTCGGCTGCACATCCATGATGCCAATCTCCCGTTCCACCACATCCCAAAGGTGCTCTATTGGATTGAGCTCTGGTGACTGTGGAGGCCATTTGAGTACAGTGAACTCATTGTCATGTTCAAGAAACCAGTCTGAGATGATTGAGCTTTATGACATGCTGCGTTATCCTGCTGGAAGTAGCCATCAGAAGATGGAGACACTGTGCTCATAAAGGGATGGACATGGTCAGCAACATTACTCAGGTAGGCTGTGGTGTTGACATGATGCTCAATTGGTACTAATGAACCCAAATTGTGCCAAGAAAATCTCCCCCACACCATTACACCACCACCACCAGCCTGAACCGCTGATACAAGCCAGGATGGATCCATGCTTTCATGTTGTTGATGCCAAATTCTGATCCGACCATCTGAATGTGTCAGCAGAAATGGAGACTCATCAGACCAGGCAACGTTTCTCCAATCTTCTATTGTCCAGTTTTGGTGAGTCTGTGTGAATTGTAGCCTCAGTTTCCTGTTCTTAGCTGACAGGAGCGGCACCTGGTGTGCTCTTCTGCTGCTGTAGCCCATCCGCCTCAAGGTTGGACGTGTTGTGTGTTCAGAGATGCTCTTCTGCAGAGCTCGGTTGTAACGAGTGCTTATTTGAGTTACTGTTGCCTTTCTATCAGCTGGAACCAGTCTGGCCATTCTCCTCTGACATCAACAAGGAATTTGCGCCCACAGAACTGCCGCTCACTGGATATTTTCCCTTTTATCGACTGTTTTCTGATGGAGATGGTGCATGAAAATCCCAGTAGATCAGCAGTTTCTGAAATACTCAGAGCAGCCCGTCTGGCAGCAACAACCAAGCCACATTCAGTCACTTAAATCAACTTTCTTCCCCATTCTGATGCTCAGTTTGAACTGCAGCAGATCGTCCTGACCATGTCTACACGCCTAAATGCATTGAGTATGTCACTGGCTGATTAGAAATTTGTCAAAGAGCAGTTGGACAGGTGTACCTAATAAAGTGGCCGCTGAGTGTATAATAAAATTAATTTTGCAGTAAAAATATTAAAAATCATATATATATATATATATATATATATATATATATATATATATTAAAAACAAAAATAAATGATTCCAAAAAATGACATTTTGACATAAGCTATTTGTTTTAAATGAACACATCTTTCCTTTTAATCCGCAGCATCCACCTTCCAGAAGATGTATGCACACAAATACCAAAACAACAACTATTACAACAGCAGTAAGAGACGCTTCAGTGAATCTCAGTACCGCCATCGCTGGTCAAAAACAGCAGAAGAACTCAAACACTGATCTGCATCCAGATCTACTTCACGTCTATCTTTCAAGACAAAACATGTGCCTGATGAATGTTTTATAGAGCCGCAAAGTGAATTTCCCTGAGGGACTGCAACAAAAAAAATAATGATAACAATAAAAAACCACCACACACAGCCACTGAGAGTGTACTTTGACTATGCAAATGAATACATTGCATTTAATAATACTGTCTTAATGTTTGGATGTTGGAATGGGGGCGGGGCTTAAATGTATATAGTAGAAATGAGGATCAAGTCAACGCAGCTGTGAATTGGTGACTGTATTCATCCGTAAGTTTTGCTTGCGAAGAACTGGATTTCCTTTTCTCTCCGGCTCTTTAAGAGAGCACTATGGTACGAGCAGTTTACTGATAAAAGGACAATAGGCTTTATATGTTTGTTTTGAATTGTGGCGAAGGGGTTTGAATGGGAGGTCACGAGTCCAGAGGACAAACAATGCTCAAAGACTGCAACTCATGACTGGAAAACAAATCTCCACCGTCATCATCATCTTCAGAGAACGCCATTGTACACTCTCACAATCATATGCTCATCAAAATATATCTATATTTTTTCTGTGTGCATTTTGTTTTAAAACATGTGGGGTTGTAATATAACCAATTTGTTTGTTCTTTTAATGAATGTCATGGTAAAGAATGAATATATGAATACTGTATGTGTGGTATATGTGAATGAACTAGCATTTTTCTTTTGTCAAGCATTATTACAAATGTTATAAGCCACAGAAGTTTAATTTATTGCTGAAGATACATATAACGATGAATGAACTGTGAGATTTTGAATAATAAAGCGCTATTAGAATATTATCAATATGTTTACTTTGTGTGTGATCTTGCATTATTAAAAAGCCCATGTTAATTGCAGGTTTTTTTCTTCTCACAACAAGAACCTTCCTTTATAAAGCAATTGAATAAATTAATCAATGGGGTATATGCCGAAGCATGCTAATAGGACTTTTAATTTGCCAGTAACCTGGGTTAAGCGCGTCCGGCGAATTGAATGCCAATGCAAAATCCAGTGCGTTTAAGGTCTGTTTTCTTTAAAAATCAGCGATCTCCACTAGCTGAGTGATATCTGATATAAAGTGGGTCTCAGATTGTATAAGAAGCACTGCATTAAATTACATTTCCCCCGTCTTGTCTTTATAATATGAGCATTTATTTTACCCCAGTATATTCAATGGAGCTTCTGTGTTAGCCTGCCGATTCTGACGGGCGCGTGCGAGGAAACAGCTTTTGTCTCGTTTTACGCTTGAGCAACTAAATGAATGCTAAAGTTTATTTAACTGAATGTATTTTAATGACATTACAACATCGATGCAGTATAAGGAACCGTATAAAATGGAAAAAAGTTCACAATATAAGGTCACCGGAAGTTTATCAGTATGGGAAAAACACTAGCTTGGCATATACCCTATTGAAACATTTTAAAACATATACTACATAATATTACTTTTAATTTCAATAAATTTTTATGTAAATGGTTTTGTGCTTTTGTTGAAATGTATAATTTTGTTAAAATTAGAAGATACGCAGCATCAAAAAACATGTTAATTTCCCTCTATTAATCGCACGTTCTGCTGAGAACGTTAAAGCCTTCCTTGTAATTCAAACAACGTTTTAAAATAATAAACTAAGAAGGTTAAAATACTAACGTTATTGATTTCAGTTAATTGTTTTATACAGATTGCAAGTATTTTTCTCTTTTGCTAATTTTTTAAAATTATAAACATTACAGAGCTTGTTTTGTTGTCTGGCGAGCAAAAACCCTATGTTAATTGCTTTGTTTTTTAATTGAATAATGTTTAAGTCTTCCATTAGTTTCAAGCAGCAAATTAAATAAAACAAAATTAAAGTATTAAAAAGGCTAATAGCCTCCCTGTTAAAAAAGAACAGCTTAAACCATGGTAAGCTTGTTTTAGCTAGTTGACCAGCCTGGTTTTAGAGGGCTTTTGGCTATTTTTAGGCTGTTTTCAGCTATTTTTAGCCTGGTTTTAGCTGGTCAGGCTGGGAAATGATCAGCTAAAACCTGCTTGACCAGCCTGGCTTAATATGGTATATCCCGAGCTGGTGTTTTTCCCATACTGATAAACCTCCCGTTACCTGTTATTGTGAATTTTTTTTTCTAATTTATACGGTTCCATTTACAGCATCAATGTTGTAAATGTCATTAAAATACATTCAGTTAAATTAAATAAAATAAATAAATAAATAAATAAAACTGGCAAATTCAAAGTCCTATTAGCATGCTTCTGCATATACCCTTTTGCATTTAAAAATCGTATCCAAAACTGTGGTCTTTTTTTAAAATTATATTACATTGAGTTTGATGTAGTGTTATTGTTTGATAGATTTATTTTTAATACTATTTACTTATTTATAACAATCCCGCGCTCGTTCTGACAGAAAATAATGCTAGTCAGCACAACAATCTTTCATATAAAAGTCCTTTGATGTTGACCGATAGAGGGCGATGTAACTTTTCCCGCGCCATTACCTTATATTCAGTTTACGTGACAGGAACAAACGGACACGATTTGATGACGTTTTCCAACGCCGAAACTAACTTGGTTTACCTGACAAGGTAGGTTGGTGGTTAAAGATGAACACTGTTTGATCTGACCATGTGTTTTGGAAAAGTAAGTAAATATGGAAGTTGTGATTTCAGTCCATAGAACATTATTTGATGTGGAAAATTTAGTTTATAACCATCTATATTGTTGTTTTATGGTATGCATTTTAGCTTGTTTTGGTCATGTTGACTAGGTAACAGTGTACGTTTACATTTAACTGAATTCAGCATGTGTTTGATGAGAAAATCCGTTTTTTTTGCCCTTTTGGGATATGCTTTTCCCTGCACAAAATGGTTGAAATTAGCTTCCCCCTAATACTAAGGTATCTGTAACCCCGGAGCAAATTTGTAATTCCTATAGCTCCCGTCAGAAATCCAAAAAGAGCAACATATTGTTAAATAATGTTATGATAGCTGTTTTACCAATACGTTATGATTAAATTGCCTCTACAGTTCTGAAATAGTTTGATAACATGCATGAAATGTTTATGGGCCAATGACATCACCACATTGAAATGGTCTATTAGTTAAATGAGCGAACACTGGTTTGTTTTCACTGTACACTCAGATGAATAAGCTGGAGGAAATTGAAAAATTATGCTAAGGATGACTTGAGAATCTCCATTTATTGAGCTAAATTTTGATACAGGTGTGTGTGTGTGTGTGTGTATATATATATATATATATATATATATATATATATATACAACAGTTCTGTCTGGTTCTCGAATCCGATTGGCTGATAGCTGTGATATATTTAAGTAATATCAGCACCCGTACAGCCTCTTTACACTTTGTGTATCACTCCGCCCACATACAGCCAGAAAAAAGCAGACACTACAGATCTAAAGTTTAAAAGATGCTTGCTCAGCTGTTTACCTGTCAGCTTATGATTTGAATCCAATGTGGAAAAAAGTAGTTCCTCATACAAAAGGGTTTTTGAGACTCTCCATGTTTGATTTAGTTTTTATATACACAATTATGCCGGTAAACTGTTATATAAACACAATATCACACGAGTAGCAGTGCGATATGGCCTGCGGCCTCGTGCCAACGCACGCCTTCCACCAGTGCCGATATACAGCCATATCGCACTGCTACTTGTGTGATATTGCTCATATATATAATTATATATATATATATATAAATAGTAAAAACAAATATTAAATTATTAACAAAAAGGCCTGTCACAATAATCAATGTATCATGTCCCCCTTACTTTTAGAGACAGATCTTTTAGAAACAGTTGATTAATAATTATATGAATTACAATTATGGGGGGGTCTCTCCACATCACCACCAGTGTGCAGCATCCACTTGGATGATGCGACAGCAGCCGCAGGACAACGGCGCCAGTGCGCTCACCACACACCACCAGCTATTGGAGGAGTGGAGAGTCAGTGATAGAGCCAATACAGCGGATAGGGATGATTGTGAGGCCATGATTGTAAAGGCCGATTGAGGGACTTTGGCCAGGACACCGGGGTTACACCCCCTACTCTTTACGAGAAGTGCCATGGGATTTTTAATGACCACAGAGAGTCAGGACCTCAGTTTAACATCTCATCCGAAAGACGGCGACCACTGACAGTTCAGTGTTCCCTTCACTTTTACTGGTGCATTTGGACCCACACAGACTACAGGTTGAGCGCCCCCTGCTGGCCTCACTAACACCACTTCCAACAGCAATCTAGTTTTCCCATGTGGTCTCCCATCCAGGGACTGACCAGGCTCAGCCCTGCTTAGCTTCAGTGAGTAACCGGTCTTGGGCTGATATGGCTGTGGCATTATAATTAAATCAAATACTCTTCAGAATGAAATATGATGTGTTCTTTGGAAGAGTGTACTTGCGTTGTGATGATATTATACTGTCATTCTGATATTATATAATGATGAGTGGCATAAAATGACAATAACATAATTGACCGCAATGTATTTTTGGTGCAATATATCACACAACAAAAGTTAAATATCTTGACAGGCCTAATAACAATTTTTGCTTTTATTTTTCCTATGGAGCTCCACTTTTTCACACTTCTCAGTGTGTGTTTCACTAAAAAACAACCAAACCAAACATGTACTTGACTGATTGTTTATTTTCTGGGGGTCTAAGGCGTTTTCCAAGTCGATACAGTCAAACCATTAATTATACTTTATGTACACACAAAAAAAAAACAGAGGGTGAAAAATGTTAACGTTAAATACATGTCTAAGCATTCGGCTCTAAAATTGATTCTGAAGTCTTGTAAACAAGGCACATGTACAGTTGCCAGAGTCAAAACAAAGTGAATAATGCATGTAAATACATATGTAAAGTATTTTCGAACAGTGTGATTATTTTTTCATCCATTTTTTGGTAGCGGCTAAAACTCAGGAGCTTCAGTTGTAAACTGAATGCGCTGACCCTAATCGTAATACTCACAAGAATCAAATGAGTTGTTTTTTGTCTTCGCTTGGCAGTCGGTTTTAATGGTTTGTTTCCAAATGCCTTGGCTTGACGTTTTTATTTATTTATTTATTTATTTATTTATTTATTTATTTTCTGAAAGTCTACTACTTCATTGACAAGTAAAGACTGAATGCAGCATGCTATGCACTTGTTTTTGTTGTTGTGCTGTTGTTTTTTTGCATCGTCTTTGAGTAAACCTTAACCTGCAAGGTATGTCTTTTTTCCTACAAGAGAAAATAGTTTATTCATTGTGCTGTTTTTCCTAGCTGGTCATTCAGCATCTTTTTGACCACCTCAGTCTTGCTATTTGTAAACGTTATCAACATGCAAAGACTAAAACTACTCATCACATGGGCTGGAAAGTGGACCGTGTGCTTTTTCACACAACTTTTTCTAGCAAACTAATTTGCGTTAACGTTTGGCACCATTGCTGTGGGTTGTTTGAGGATCTGTTTTCTACGGTTTCATGAATGTTATAAACAAGATCTAGAAAAACGGAAAAGGAAAGCAAGATTTACTTTTGAAACACAATGGTGGTTTCTTCATCCTCCTGACAGTGATGAGGTCGATACAGTGGAGCCGTAGGGGAGACTTACAAACACATCATTTCAAGAGATAATTAACATACATTTATAAACGCTCTACTTGTATATTTCAATAGTTAAAAAAATCACAAAGCAATGATTTGTTTCCCAACTTATGTCTCAACATGGCTTGGTCCACACACAAAATGTTTTCAAACTAGATTTTAAAAGGTATGTGTTTAGGAAATAATACAATTATAGCACCCTGTAAGGATGGCAAAAGGAAAACTTGTGGCATGGTGTTGTTTAGCACTTTAGTTCGATTTATTTTCTCTCATGCTGTGCCTCGTATAGAAATCTGATACATGGCAATATATATGCAAATTACATATATAACATACAAGTTCATATTTAGATTTCTTATTTAAAACGTATATGTAAAATATTGTAAAAATGTCTGTTTATGTATTTTTTTTCAACCATTGGAATTACAAATATGTACATATGTTCAAATATTAACTACATTTAATGAATGTGTTCATTTATGACCATATATAAACACACACATAGAGTATGTATGTGTGTTCATATGTGAACAACATATACATTTACATATGTTTAAATATATTAGCTATTTTAAATATCTGTTCAATTATGGCCATATATAAACGTATATGAACACACACGCGTATATGCATGTGTACTTATATATGTTCATATATGGCCATATATGAACATACATTTACACATATGTGCAAATGTATTAGCTATATTTTAAATATGTGTTCATATTTGGTCCTTTATGAACACACATACACATATGTACACATGTGTTCGTATATGTTCCTATACGGCCATATATCAACATATACATTGACATATATGTTCAAATAAATTACCTATGTTTTATATATGTGTTTATGGTCGTATATGAACATATATGAACGCACATACACATCCATATGTATATGTTCATTTACATGTATGTTTAAATGTTTTAGCTATATTTTGAGTATGTTTATATATGGCCGTATATGAACATATACAAGCACACACACACACACACATATATATGTATGTGTGCTTTCATATATGTTTATATACGGCCATATATGGAAATATACATTTACATATTATGTTTAAATTTATTAGCTATATTTTAAATATGTTCATATATAGCCGTATATGAACATATATGCATGTGTGCTCCTATATGTTCATATACGGCTATACATGAACATATACATTTACATATGTTCAAATGAATGAGCTATATTTTAAATATGTGTTCATATATCGCTGTATATGAACATATATGAACGCACATACATATATGTAGGTGTGTTTATATACGGCCATACATAAACATATACATTTACACGTACAAATATATTAACTATATTTGAAATAATTGTTCATATTTGGTCATATATGAACGCACACACACACACACACACACACACACAAAAGTGTATATGTGTGTGTGTGTATGTATATATATATATATATATATGTATATATGTATGTGTGTGTGTGTGTGTGTGTGTGTGTGTTCAGATATGTTCATATATGGCCATATATCAACATTTACATACATGTTAAAATATTTTACCTATGTTTTATATATCTTTATATATGGCTGTATACGAATGCACATACACGTATATATGTATGTGTGCTCATATATGGCCATATTTAAACATATACATTTACATATATTAGCTACATTTTAAATATGTTCATATATAGCCGTATATGAACATGTATGCATGAACATATACAAAATATTGCTAATGTATTTGAACATGTGTAAATGTATATGTTCATATATGGCCGCATATGA